GGGATGAAGCATGAATAAACTCTGGGTCTGAGGCCGAGGGACGCCCTAGAGGCCAGCGCTGCCCCCAGCTCTCGCTCGGCCCCAAGCTCTTGCTGCCCCCCAGCTCACGGGGCCCCCAGATCTCGCTCCTCACCCTGCAGGTAGAGCTCTGCATCTCTGACTTGCTCCTGCACCAGCACAGTAACCTCCGGGACGGTTAAATCACAGACGTGCGGACACCCTGGACTGGCTGACTCAGGGGGCCTGGGACGTGTGTTTCTCCGGGGGGCCGGGTGCTGCTGCGCATCGGCGGCCAGCACCCCGAGAGCCGCTGCCTGGAGAATATCAAGACTGCCTTCATGCGAAGCGCCCTCTGTGTCCTGCCCAGTGCCTCACAACCACTGCTCTTCCAGTTCCAAACACTGCTCTCTCTCTAGACAAAGTCAAAACCAAGAGATGATACCCTGACATCTCCTATTACATTCACCAACCCGAGCAGCCAGACACAACGTCTCTCAAATTGACCCAGGACGGGCGGCTGGGGGAGGGGAGCACCCCGTGGACGAGGCCTCCCCTGCAGCGTCAGAGGGTAGGGAGAGTCAAATTCTTCCTTTAAATGTCTGTGGGGGCTCAAGGGATGATTTCACGGGGGAGACAGGCTGGGTCTTAGGTGGGGGGTGTGTGTGAATGAATTAATGAGACAATAAATAAGACACAGCAAATGCCCCCAAAAGAAAGAAAATGGGCAAAGGACAAGAAGGGTATTTTATAAAAGAAGAGTACGAACAACCAGTAAAGATATGAAACCAGATGAACGTCATTAAAAAGTGAATGACTACCCTAATAGGATGTCATTTTTTACTTAGGTTGGGCAAGGTGAGAAACCCCCCTAGCCTAGGGGATGGCAGGGAAGGGAAGAACGAGTATAAATTGGCGATCGGGTTCAAGACGGTACACACTCTCCCATCTATTGGCTCACCTCCAGGAAGACCTCCAATAGAACTCAGTGATGAGTGAAGACTTGCACCACGATTATTTCTCTCAGTGGGGTTTGTAAATATGGAATATGGTTCCAGCCTGCTGTAAACTCAGAACCTCCATACAACAGGATCCTGTGCTAACTGTTCTGGTGAGGGAGCTATGCTCAGCAACAGAAAAACATTCACAGGTACAGGAAGCAAAGGTTCTTGCACAGCTTGGGTGGTGCGAGCCCATTTTTCTAAAAGCACATGGTTGCTTATGACCACAAATATGGAAAGAAACAAGTATGGAAGGACATGAACCACAAAGCCAACATGATTTTGGGTAATTTAAACTCTCCTTCCTTCTTGCTTCATGTTGTTGTTGTTTTTCTAGAAGGAACCAAGGTGATTCAAGTTAAGAAAAAAGTGGTCAGGCTGGCTTGGTGTGGAAGGGCTTTCCCGCAGAGGGAACAGTATTTGCAAAATCACAAGACTCTAAGAGCCAGGGCATGTCTGGGAAATGATAAGCAGCTCAGTTGGGCCCGAGAGGAGGGTGAGTGGAGAGCACAGTGGCTGGGGAGGAGGAGGACAGGTCCCCAGGAGACTTGGGAGCTGCAGGCAGGGTTGTGGGCTTTATCCTGACCAGAGGTGCATGGCAATGAGCCAGAAGCCGAGTGAATGGGCTGGAGGCTGGCTGCTGGGCCATATGGCATCTGCAGAGGACCGGACACCAGGCCAGAAAGCAGGGCAGGGCTGTACAGTAGGGCTAGCTAGGAATTGTGGCCAGAACAGGCAGCAACAAATGCATATCCCCAACCCAGGGGCTGGGGCCTGACAGCCAGAAACACTCTGAATCTTGAGGCCAGCACGTCAAATATTCCCGGCATACTAGCCACCATCCATTCCTCATTCTTCCTGTCACCCGTGCCTGGCCAATGAGTGACAGGGTCACATGTAGAATGTTTAGATTCCTTTGCCACAGTGAAGAGAACCGTCTGGAGGAAACATGGGTGGCTGTTTAAGAGGCCAGAATGCCAGTGCAGACAGAAGACAATGCGGCCTCATCTAGATCTGTGGCAGGGAGTGGGGCGGCAGGGGGATTGGAGGAAAAGGGACGGAAGCATCCAGAAGGATGAGTGCCAGGGACACACATCAAAGGTCATGCTTAGATTTCTGATAGGAGTCACTGAGTGAACACTGGTGTCACCTGTTAAGATGCAGATGATGGGAAAAGGTCAGTTTGGAAAACGCAAAAGTTGAGGGGCTGAGGGGTGGAGGGGCCTGAAGCTCAGGAGAGCTTTCTCGTTGAAACACAGGCAGTAGACTGAGGGTATAGTGAAGCTGTGGAGGGGCATCCGCTCTCCCCAGGGCAGGCTTAGGAAGAAGCAGCTTGGGAATAACCCTAAGGACCGTCTAAGGTACTGGCCGGGAAGGAGCTGTAAGAGGCAAAGCAAGGCCTGAGGTGGAAGAAAGCCAGGTAGGTGGTTCATGGAAGCCAAGGGGGAGGGGAAGCTTCCAGAAGGAAGAGAAGACAGTCAGTTGACGGCTCTGTGAATGGGAGGGGAGGGAGGACGACAGCTAGAGCAGCGGTTCTCACGGGGGAGGATACTGGGGACACCTGGCAACATCTAGGGACATTTTTTTAGTTGTTACGACTTGGAAGATGCCACCGGCATATAGCAAGTGGAAGGGATGCCGCTCCACATTCCACCACGCACAAGATGCACCCCCTCCAAGAATTATCCAGTTCTAAATGTCAAGGGGGTTCAAGGAGAGACACTCTGAACTAGAGGAAGTCAGGAAACATTAGCAAGGATTCTTTTAGAGAACAGCCACTGTAGCATGTCTGAATGCTGGCAAGGCGATCCCGAAGAGACCTGGGCAAGCAGGCACTTGCCTAGACTGAGGTTCCCAGGATGCAGAGAAGGGCAGGGATGGAGCAGAGGGGGAGATGGCTGTTATTTTCACTGCGAGGTGGGAGGCAATCACCGGCCGAGAGTGAAGGGTGCAGACGGGGTTGCTGTGGGGGCTGGGGATGCCTGCGTTGTGGGCTGAGCTCGGCTGGGAACTGGCTTCAACAGGGCACCTGTCTGCCTGGAGGCAAGACTCTCTCCAGGGTGGGCATCCTCAGCCCAGCCAGGAGGAAGCAGCTGGGCAAACGTATCCATGCCTGGGGTTTCACCAGAGCAGCCTAACAGAGGACAGAGGAGCAGTGCAGCCGGTGAGGTTTTTGCACACCAGTGGCAGGAGGAGAGAGGTAGGAATGCAGTCAGCTTCTTGTGAAGGTACGTTCTTTCAATTTAAGGAGCTGCTAGCAAGACACGGAGCTCAGATCTGAGCCTGGGAGCACATCCTCCACAACTCTTGGTACGCTATACTTATCTCACCGAAAGAGGAGGAAAAGTTTATCTCTGAACTGAAATAATTTCCAAATTACACTTTCCTGCTTTTACCTCATTCCCGAAACCAGTTCTCTCTGGACTGATCTCACCAAATCTAGGTGTTCCTATTATCATAGCTCACATTCCTTTGAAAACCACAACAAATGAATAGACAAAGAAGTCAGGTACCATGAGAATGCTGGCAAAATCGGACTGCAATGCTCAGGAATATCCACAGGGCTAAAAATTCCCTTCCATGAGAACATAAAAGGAGAAAGGCAAGATTTGTTAGTAGCATAGAAGAATTTTAAAATGCTTCTGAACAAGGACTCTCTTATGCAGATGGTCTTCTGAAACAAGAGAAAGATAATAGCTTCTAAAACATTGTAACACTGTTCAATTTGTGTATTATCTATAATCCCTATTTAGAGGTTTATTAAATCACAGACTCAGAATTGGAAGAGTCCTTAAAAGACTTTTGAAGTCCGTGCCCCCTCTGATGAACTAATTCCCTATAAAGCAGTCAGCCAGCCTCGACAGGACCCATCCCAGAGACAGGCATCTTCAGGTTCCTGGCAAAAGCTGAGAGTTGATGAAGTAAGACGATGGGTACATGGGGTTCAATATATTACTCTACTTTTATGTAGATCAGAATACAAGATAGCTTATTTCCATAATAAAGTTTTTTTTTTTTTTTTCCAACTTTTAAGTTAGTTTTCAGTGTAGAGAATCATAGTCTCACAACCCAGGGTGGCAGCCAGAGCCCTCCTGGGGGGGGGGGTTTCCAGCCCATTCCTCAGCTCACCAGAGTAGAGCAGAGAGGAAGAAGGATGAAGGAAAAGGATGGGGGTGGGGAGAAGAAGGGAAGAAAGAAAGGGAGGAAGAGGTGGAAGGAGGAGGCGGAGGAGGATGAGGGCAGCTCCCTAAAACAATGTTCCTCCCTGGGGAGAAAAGGAAGGAAGTGCTTCATAGCACCTGATCTTTCCATGTTTTCCTCCTTAAAACCATGTTCTCGGGTTGGAGGCTGCTCGGTAAGGACGGCCTTCCCAGGTGTCTGCAAATCCTTATGAGGTTGTAGGATATAGGAGCCACCATCCCCACTTATGTCTGGGGTCGCATGTGGAGGCAGTGGGGGAACAGGGCTCTCAGCCAGCATCCAACCCTACAGCCTGCCTGTTGATCCGTGGCCCTGCTCTAGCCCCCCAAGAGTGCAAACTCAGTGTGTTTCAGATGTTCCAGCTGATGGCGTGATAGCAAACAGCACAGCTCAGAGCCAATGAAGGGCTGCCCGCGGGGATACTCCGTGTTCTGCCATAGGCCTGACCCGGCACGGGGACCCGGGAAGGCAGGGAAGGGCCTGCCTGGGCCAGAGTCCCCTCCACTCATGGGACCGAGCCAGGCCAGGCTGTCATTCATGTTCTATGGTCTCTTCCAGCTCTCAGCGCCATTCCCATTTCCGGTGTCCCATCTTCCCTCCCCTCTCACCATCTCACTCTGTACATGCTCTTACGACGAGCTTTTCCTTTTTTGGGAACCAAAGTCCAATCTGCCACCAGGGCAGTGGCAAAATACAGTCTGAGATAACAACAAAACTTGACAACCATCACTGCGGGCAAAGAAGCCAGTGCTCAGTGGGACGGCCCCAAGTCCCCCTTACAAACCCTCTCGCTTTCTTTACCTGCTACTTTATCCCGAATGAGTTTTGCAGATTCGACTTCACCGATACTGCTGAACAGACTCCGCAACTCATCCTGGGTCATGTTCTGAGGGAGGTAGTTGACAATTAAATTCGTTCTCCCGATATCATCCCTGCAGTCTTCGGCCATGTGGTCTTCATAACCATTAGACATTGTATTTTTTAAAAAATCTGCGGGGGAGGGGGGAGAAAAATCAAGTAAATTCCAAATGTCCATATTGCAGAATATTAAGGCAAAACGCATTACTGGCACTTGGGGTTTTTTCTTTTCAACACTACAATTTCAACTTCCGTACACATAAAAACCTGCTCATGAATGTTTATGGCGACTTTATTCATAACTGCTCTGAGACCGGAAGCAACCAGCATGCCCTTCAGTCGGTGAATGAAGAAACAAATTCCAATTGTCTGCGGCCTTCACACAACAGAGTGTTATTCCGTGACAGGAAGAAATGAGCTATGAAGCCGGAGACTTGGGGAGGCCTTAAATGCACACTACTAAGTCTGAAAGGCCACCCAATTATAGGACATCGTGGAAAAGACGAAAACTCTAGAGCCAGTAAGAAGACCAGTGGTTGTCAGGGCTAGGAAGGGAGGGAGGGAGGGAGGGGCAAGAGGAGCACAGAGAGGGCGCCTGGGTGGCTCAGTTGGTTGAGCAGCTGCCTTCGGCTCAGGTCGTGATCCTGGAGTCCCAGGATCGATTAAAAAAAAAAAAAGAAAGAAAGAAAAAAAAAAGAAAAAAAAAAAAAAGAGGAGCACAGAGGATTTTTAGGGCGGTGAAACTATCTGCGTGATCCTGGCACGGTGGACGCAGGTTATTACACATTTGGGCAAACCCACGGAATGTACAACACAAAGACTGAACCCGAAGGCCAACTATGCGCTTGAGCTGATACTATCAATATTGCCTCATGGATTCTAGCAAAATACCACACCGACACAAGATGTCACTAGGAGGGAAGACTTCGTGTTGGGAGGAGGCGGACATTTGGAAACCCGCTCTGTACTTTCTTTGCAGCCTTTCTGCAAACCTAAAACTGCTCTAAAACACACCCATGTCTACTTACTGGGGGGCTTCAAAAACCCTACAAACAGGGGCGCCTGGTTGGCTCAGTCAGCGGAGCGTGCAACTCTTGAGTTCAGGTAGGCCCCCTGCTGGGTGTGGAGCTTACCTGAAAAAACAAACACAACACCTACAAACAATTCCAGCACCACAATTCAAGCTCCCATGGAAAGTGTGCGGGTGGGCTCAAGAGCTTTCCGAAGATTCCTGATCACCTTCTCCCATCTCTGCGTGCACTCCTGGTGCAGCTGGGTACTGCGGAGCATGTGATGTGCACCTGAGCACCCCGACTCAGGCGCCCCGCCTCTGTTCTCAAGCAGGGAGACAACGGTTCCCTGCATCCCTTTATTCCAAAGGCCACAGCACTGAGCTGGTAAAGAGGTTAGGGTTTCTCTACCAGCTGGAGGAACATGCTCTTCAAAGCTTGCAAGCTTTGGAATGCCCTCAGCCGCCTGCAGAAGTCTTCGCTCTCAGTGACAAACATCATGGTACAGCGATAGCTTCAGAGAAGAATCCGGATCAACGCGGCCGAGAGCATCAGGACGGCTCTCCTGAAAGCACAACTCGCGCGGGGCTTGCTCACAAGTAATGTCGCGCGCGGCTGCCTCATCTAAGATGTCCCATGTCCCTGCCTCTAAATATGCAGGCACTCACCCCCATGGGGCTGAAGTGTCATTACCAGAAAGAGGCCCTGTGGCCCACCAGCCAGGAGGTCTCGGGGGTAGCCCACCCCTTTCTCCGCATCCCTTCTGCCCAGCCCTGCCTTTATCCTTGAAGACCCAGTGCCCACTGTCAGGAGCACTCAGCCTTCTTTAAAAATAGCCTTGCCAGAGGTTATATAAAAACCTGAACACCGCTCCCACCTCCCCCCTGAGTCAGCACTGAGAGAGGACTTAGGTGTGGGTTTTTTTTCTCCCCCCCTTGCTGGAAACAGGTGGGACTTCTCTATCTTTCCACCTCCTGATTTGCTTCAGACCATACACAACATGCAAAGTTATTGTACTCTCCCAGCATTTCTTTTATTTATTTGAAAATGTTCTATGCTCCCTGTTCTTTATAAAATAGGTCAGCATAGCCATAAAAGAAAAGACTGGAAAGTCAGACTTCCTAAGATTAAGAAGTTCTGTATGGCGAAAGGCACTATACACAGACAAGCAGCAGACTTGGGAGAAAATGCTCGCTACCTATTACATTATTTAAGCCAGTGGTTCTCAACGTGGGTGACTCGGCCCTCCAGGGGACACTGGGCCGTGTCTGGAGACATTTCTGGTTACCACAACTGTGGGTGGTGGTGTGCCACTGGAACCTAGTAGGTAGAGGCCAGCGGAGCTGTGAAACATCCCACAAGGCCCAGGCTGGCCCCCACAACCAAGAATTGTCCAGCCCCAAATGTCAACACTCCCAATGCTTGGACCACGTGATTCAGTGTCTACAAACTCATCAGAAAGAAGACACATCCCTGGGGGCGCCTGGGTGGCTCAGTCGTTAAGCATCTGCCTTCGGCTCAGGTCATGATCCCAGGGTCCTGGGATCAAGCCCCGCATCGGGCTCTCTGCTCAGCGGGAAGCCTGCTTCTCCCTCTCCCACTCCCCCTGCTTGTGCTCTCTCTCTTGCTGTGTCTCTCTCTGTCAAATAAATAAATAAAATCTTTAAAAAAAAAAAAAAAAAAGACACATCCTTCAACAGAAAAATGGACAAAGGATATGAGCCTCACCTAATAGATGTCAGCAATTCAAATGCTAATAAACCAGGACGAGCTCAAATTCCCAAATAATGAGGAAAATGTGAAGTCAAAAGAGATGCCACCTTCTGTCAGTCAGATACAAGACTGCCCAGGATGGGTAAAATCTAGCATCGTAAAGAAGGATAAGGCGGACAAACACCCTGGTACACCGTTGAAATGGTACAACCCTTTTGGAGGATAACCTGCCCTTTAATATGATTGCTACCCTCGGATTCAGAACTGTAGGAATCTGTTCTTCAGAAATAATCACATGCGTGCAGGGAAGTATGTGTGAGGACCACACGACCCCACAGCGGGTACAAGTAAAATGCTGGATGTAATCTAAATACAAATTAAACAAACACCAACTCCACAAATCTGTTAAAGCATCTGCAGCCATGAGGCTTTTAGATAGATTAGCTCAAAAACAAACACACATTTGCTGAAGCCTGAACCAAAGTGCAAGGGTTAACTCTGAAAAATTAAAATGCATAATGAAGTTTGCTCGAAATGTGATTCAAACATTTCTCTTCTCCCTTCCTTTGTTTTTCTTCATCCCTCCCTCTCCTCACCTTTGTTCTGAGTTAGGGACCTACTCTTGTGCCTTCTCCCCCCTCCCCCCAATGCTTTCAAGGATGATTGAACTGGGCAGTAATTACCCCATTCTCATTATTCAGAGAGGGGTGTCTTCTATGCCTGGTAAAAAGATGACTTTCTTAAACAGTGGTTGGCAAACCATGGCCTGTGGACTGTGGACCAAATCTGGCCCACCACCTGTTTTTATAAATAAAGTTTTATTGGCACACACTTGATTCTCATTTGTTTATGTATTGTCTGTGGCTGCTTTTGCACTACAGTGACAGAGTTGAGTAGTTGTGACAGAGACCATATGGCCCAAAAAGCTGAAACTATTTACCATCTGGCTCTTTACAGAAAAAGTGTGCCGACCTCTGTTCTAAAATGTAAAAACAGAAATTTTCTAAGAGAAAATCTTTGTGACATTGGGTGAGGCAAAGATTTCTGAGACACCACACCAAAAGCACAATCCATTTTCAAAAAATCGATAAACTGGATATCATCAAAATGTAAAACTTTCGCTCTGCAAAACTTACAGTCCACAGAGAAGAAAATATTTACAAATTACATATCTGAAAAAGGACCTGCATCCCGAACATATTTTAACTCTCAAAACTTAATGAGAAAACAACCTAATTTTAAAGACGACGAAAGCTGTGAACAAACAATGCACCAAGAAAGATATATGGATGACAAACAGACATATGAAAAGACACCCGACATTATTAGTTATTACGGAAATGCAGACTAAAACTACATTGAGATACCATTACCCATCTGGAAGAGAATCAAGATAACTCCACCCATTCAGAATGGCTAAACCAAAATAAAACAAAAGCAGGCAAACAACAACAAAACAATATCAAGTTCTAGTGAGGATGTGGAGAAACCAGAATTTCCATGCATTGCTGGTAGAAATGGAAAAATATTAAAGCCGCTTTAGAAAACGTATGGGCAGTTTCTTAGAGTTAAACATACACTTTCCAAAAGACCCAGCAATCCCATATTAGCAGTCATACAAGAGAAGTGCAAACCTATGTTCATACAAAAACCCACACACGAGTGTTTATAGCAGCTTTATTCAGTAACACCCCAAACTGGAGCAGCCCAAATGCCCTTCAATCCATCAGTGGCTAGACTAGGGAAGGCTACACAATGGAGTTCTGCTTGCCAATAAGAAAAGTGCTACTATCCACGCAACTTGAATCAATCTTGAATCAATCTCAAATACATTTCACAGAGTGAAAGAAACCTGACTCCTAGGCTGCGTACTACAAGAGTCCCTTCTAGAAAAGGCAGAACCGTAGGGATGGATCTGCGGTGGCCAGGGGCAGGGAGCAAGGGGAGCGCTGAGTACACTGGGGGAGAAAAGAGAGTGTTTTTGTTTCTTGGGGAGTGTAACTTCCCATGTCTTGATGGTGGAGGTAATAACACGACTCTATGCATTTGTCAAAACTCGAAGAACTCTACACCAGAATTTCAAGTGAACTTGAAAATAAATTTTAAAAGATCTACAAAGTGAACCTGATTCCACAGCAGGCAGGCTCCTCGTGACGCCCCTGGGTGAAGCTGAGCAGCCTCTGCGGGCCCAGTTCTTGGGTCAACTGGCAACGATGGAGAAATCCAAACCCCCAAAGCACGGTTTCTCAACTCTTCAGGGCCGCTCCACCCTGCTTTCCCGTGTTCCTCCCCCTGACCTTTCCAAATCCACGTCGCTAATCCGGGGCCAGGCCAGCTTCTGTCGAGCACCAACCACAGCTGGGCCTTTGTCTCTGCCTGACGATCAGTGACTTCCAAGTTGTAGCCAAT